GAAATATGCTAAGTATTTATTATTTACTAGAGATATAATTTTATTTCTCACTATTTCAATTATTTTAAACTTGCATTAATATAATAACTAGCATATTTTAATCAAGCATAAATTTTGAAAGACAATTTTGTCTTTAACTAAGCTAATGCATGCATTAAAACCCATTGCATTGCTAATACCAATGGTTTTCTATGCATTAGTTATGCATAATACCAAATAGGATATATAACTAATGCTTGCATAACTAATGCACAGGTTCAAAATGTCTACCAAATAATGTATTATTAATACACAAAGCTAACACATGCATTATTTTATCTAATTCATCCTACCAAACGACCCCTTAAATTTTTTACCAACAAACCTGTGCTCGAAAATCGAAATGTATTGGTGAATCCTTAATGAACCTTGAATCTGAAATTTGGGAGTTTTACCTAGCTATACTATATTAGAAACTTATTTACCTATGTTCTCTATGTTTTGAAGTTTTTAACAAGTATCTAGGTTTTTCTTACAAATTGTATATTTTGCTTCTTAAAAGACTCCAACTCCATTATTAGTGCATTCAATTAAGGGATTCAATTATATCCTTTCGCTTTTTTTCTCCCTCTCCTCTTCTCTCCTTTTTTTTTAAAAATCAAAATCCCTTAATCTACGCCCAGAATCTCTATCTTCTCTCTTTCCACTATTACCGACAGCTTTATATTATTAAAAATTATTCTAAAGATTTATGATAATTGTATGATAAATGTATCATAATTGTATTTGAATTATATCAGAATCATCAATACCTAAAGCATAAATGTATTATACTTGTATCACAATTGTATCTAACTTGTATCCGATATATTAATACCCAAAATAATATCTGATACAATACTAATAAATTAATATACAATTATCATACTTGTGATACAAACTACGAAATTCGTCACGAACGCACAACTGCTCGTAATAATATACAACGAATATACAATTATCATACATTTGTAATACAATTCCTGCAACAATTATGATACATATACAATTATAATACAATCGCGATACATTTCTAAAAAATTGTGACACAATTATGATTTCATCTTCTTCAAGTTTCAATCACAACTCTACACTAAAAATTTAATATAATCGTATTATATTGTATCGAGTATTATTTTTGGGTATTGATGTATCATATACAAGTCACATACAATAAAGATTTTAGAAAGAAAGAAAACAAGATTCAAAACTTACCCCACAACTTGATTCTAGAGCAATATTTCGAATTTCGTCATATTGTATAAAAAAGAAATAGATATTTTGGGTGATAAGTAAGAAAGAGAGAAATTGAATCTCAAAAGATTTGGAAGAGGAAAAGAATCTGCAATATTGGGGGGGATAACTTTGGGTGAGCAAGATTTTTGGTAAGCGAGATTTCTTACTATGGGTAAGAATAATTTTGTGTAATTGTTAAGAAAGAGAAAAGATGTTTTTGTAATCCTTTGGAAAAGGAAAGAATCTTAAAGGTAGGAGGAATTATTGAAAATGGGGGTTGAGTGTCAAGTAACTGATAGGCTAGATTTAAGGGATCTTGAATTTCTTCTTTTTTATGATTTTGTATATAACTAGTAAATATAGATATACAAAGTAATTAATAAACCTATATAAAGGTGGTAAATAGGTTCCTATTATAATATAGCTAGGTAAAAATTCCCTAAAATTTTGCCAGGAATTAGCCCAGATATGTATACAGCCCAATTTTGAGGTTTGGTAACTGATGGGCAGCCCATGCCGAGGGAGAGACCATGGGCTTTTTGTCTATTCTCCAATTTCCTTAAACTAAAGGACAAGTTACACATTTACTGATTGGCCAAAATAATTACATTTGCTATATAAATATACAAAAAAAAAAAAAAAAAAACATGTATATTATATATTCAATAAATATAAATCTTGCCAGCTAGACATTGATGCCCGTAACATGTTTCTGTCTAGGAGAGCTTGCTTGAAGGATGCTCTTAAGACCAATGGGCTAATTATCTATAATTTGGATGGCCACAACCTTTTATTTATCATGATTGATACAGCTTATTGGGTGTCTATTGGGCTATCGTTATGTCTGTCCAACCAATGATTGCGTTCGAATGAGGCCTAACTGGACATGAAACTCCCAGGCTCCCAGAATTAAGAATTTTACCATTACTGTTGCTTATCTTGTTGAAATTTACAAGATGAAATAAGAAGAAGAATTAACCACTACTTCATCTTAAGGGAGTTCTTATAGTTCAACAAAAGAGTGTTATTAGCACCAAAAAAAAAAAGGAGGAGTATTTGCTCTTATTTTCAGGTCACCTCAACTCTCGTCGGAAGCAATATACTTGGTTTCGATATTACTTATTAACCATATATAGAGCCTTTATTTAATGAGTTTAAGTTTTATATAATGATAATGTAGAATTTAGTTACATAATCATGTCATTAAAAAGTAATTACATGTAACTCCAAAATCAGCAACCTAGAGTAAATTGCAGGTTACTTGTTATAATAGGTCAAATTACACTAATAGTGTAAAAAAAAATTATTACATGTGTATACAACTTAAATCTTTACTTAACTTTGAGACAAAGTGCTATATATATTTTGTTGGTTGATCTAATAATATTATGAAATAATATTTATCACTCAAAATATAAAATAAGTTTTATACAGCTGATATCCTAAAATGGTGTCACAAGGTACATGTTTATGGCATATAACAAGAATACTTGAATAAAACTAACTTATAAACTGATAGAATAAACTCGTAAAGAAAAACTATATATGTCACGCCTTTTGACCTACAAAAACATGATGAAAAAGATCCAATTATCCAAACAACATTTCACAATCATCATGTCAACAACATAAATCACTAGAAAAATGTTATCAAATGTGATCCGTTCCATAGAAACTAACAATTTTCAACTTCTATCAGACAAAAAAGAATCTGCCATACAAAACAAAAGCCTAAGAAATGACCTTCGCAATGACGAAGAATCCAAGAAAACAGCTAAACTACAAAGAGGAAACAACATACTTTCCTATTTCGTCTAAATGGAAGAAGACAACGTCTCTGCTTGGATTATCATAGAAAACGAAAAACCAGTAATAATGCATTTAAGATGATTTCGATATCTAAAGACAAAGGAAGAGGTAACTTACTTTGACTTCTCTTGTATTATCATTTACTTGTCTGCTCTCCTCAGAATCGATGATTACTGTCCAGTGTGAATGACAGCATTCAAATTAATTCTTTTGACAGCAATATATCTGTCTTTTCTTGGTAGTTTTAACTGCGTAATAGATTTGTTGAAATTGTATTTGGAATAACTTTTGAGACAGCTCGTGTCCAATTTTGACACCATATAGTTGAATGTGTTAAAAGGTTATAAGGTATACCTAAATTTATAATAGAATTCACTTAAATTGTTGCTTACTCAAACGCTTAAACTTAAAAAGCCAATAGATATATAATATGTATAATCCATGTATGATATGTCTATAATCATTGTATTAATATAAGTATACTGACTAGAAAAAATAAATAATGAATTCGACCTGCTATTTGTGTAAAGATATAAAAAGAAGTTAACTCAAATGACCTAAAACTCTTGAATCCATGTGGATATAACGAGAGAAGCAGAAAAATGGAATTAAAGTATTCGATCAGAAAATTAAGTGGCTGTAGCCTGTAAGTGTTAGATAAAACGTTGGAAGTGTCGAACAACTTTTTTGTTTTCTCCTTTATGTTCTATTGATATTGAAGTCAGTAATTATGTCATATAATTTCTATAAGAGTCCATTAGGTCACTCAACTATCCCAAATTATCTCCTAAAGTCACTTTTCTTTCGTTTGTAACAACAAAGTCACTGAACTATGCATATTGCACTAAGAAGGTCACTCAACTAGATTTTCCAAATTTTGAATTGTCGAATACCTATTTTACCCTCTAAATTATAAACATTTGTCTTCTTTTTATTTTTTTAAGCTTTTTAATACTATAATTTTTCCCTTTTTAATTTACATTATGGACTTACCTATAGAATAAATAAATATTATTTATAAACTAAGAAAATAAAAAGTATTTAAGCATATATAATGTTGGAATAACAAAATAATAAGCATAGTAAAAAAATTAATTAGAATAATTTGTTAGTAATAATAATTTTAGTATTAACAACAAAAATTCAAATATTTATTTATACAATTCAGAATGAAAGAAAATAAAGGTTGTAAAATATATATTCCATGCACGTAATATAAAAATAATTATTTAAATAAAGGTTTTTTGTAATATACATTATATATTTTTGAAAATTATGCTCAATTATATATATATATATATATATATATATATATATATATATATATATATATATTCCATGCACGACTTAACATAGCATATTTACCCTCTCAGATAGTCCCCCTGCTTTTCGGTGACATAACTTTGTGTCGTCGGAAAGTTGGTAGAAATATAATAATATAATTAAGCATCATTTTTAAGAATATATAATGTATATTATAAAAATATTTTTATTTAAATAATTATTTTTATATTACATGCGTAGAATATATATTTTACAACCTTTATTTTCTTTCATTCTGAATTGAGTATATAAATTTTTGAATTTTTGTTAATACTAAAAAGTTTAAAAAAAACAATAAAAAGAAGATAAATGTTTATAATTTAGAGGATAAAATAGATATTTGGCAATCCAAAATTTGGAAAATCTAGTTGAGTGACCTTCGGAGTGCATTAGGCATAGTTTAGTGACTTTGTTGTTACAAACGGAAGAAAAGTAACTTCAGGAGATAATTTGGAATAGTTGAGTAACCATTTGAGTATTTGACTCAATTCTATAATTAGTATCCAGGATAACACTAGACTGGCTAATGGACACTCAAGTTGGCATGAAATCATCGTTACTTTTGTCTTAAATCAAATTTAGCTTTTTGACAGATAAAACTAAAACAAATCAAAAGACAAAAGATTCATACATATATATACTGAATAGAGCAGCTTCTATTTTGTGTGTGAAGGCGTCAAGCAAAAGATAGAAGAGTACTCAGCTTTACTTGTTCATATCTATTTGGAAATTGAAACAGAAATGGATTTGAATACAAGTGTTAAATCTGAGATGGCGAGCCCTGGGAAAAGAAGCATATCCATGGTGGATTATGACATTTCAGAGACGACCAAACGTGTGAAAAGACGGAGAAGGTCTCCCCCTGCAATTGAACTGAATGAGAACATTGGCCAACAAGGTGAAAAGCAGAAGATGGACTCATCTAAAGTTGATCAAAATATTGCTCATACACCTACTGTGAAGAGAAGTTCAAGATTCAGAGGGGTTAGCAAGTAATACTAAATTAAAAATGTTAAGGACATTTTCTGGTCCTTTTCCCCCCTTTTGAGTTATATAGATTTAAGAAACTGACTCTTGGTTACCTTGGATTTTAGGCATCGATGGACGGGGCGTTATGAGGCTCATTTGTGGGACAAGAGTTCTTGGAATGTAACTCAGAAAAAGAAAGGAAAACAGGTCTATCTTGGTGAGTACTGCACTTGGTTCTATAGACCAATATTTGATTCAAGAATTGAAGTTTGGGTTGGAGAAAATTTACTTGTATGTTGTGTTTTAAATTGAACAGGAGCATATGATGAAGAAGAATCTGCAGCAAGAGCATATGATTTGGCTGCAATCAAGTACTGGGGTACATCAACTTTCACTAATTTTCCGGTATGATCACCTGAGCTGACTCAAAACTTGTGTATACTTTATTTTCATAGTCCTTTTGCTTTTAATTCTTTCTGTTTGATTGAAAATTCTGTCTTAAAACTCTTTCCTACAGATATCTGATTATGAGAAAGAAATTGAAATAATGCAAACTGTGACTAAGGAGGAGTACTTAGCCTCTTTAAGAAGGTATTTGTTCAACTTGATTTTCAATCAGATCAAGAAAATCTTTTCACTGAAAACACAAAACTTACCCGAGTTTTTGCCGTTCTAATGCAGGAGAAGCAGTGGTTTCGCCCGGGGTGTATCTAAATACAGAGGAGTAGCAAGGTGAATAAATTCATTTCACCTTGATAGTCAAGCCACTGTTATAAAACTTTACCATATGTTGTTCATCATTAGTAACAAAAGATATTGAACTGATATAACTTTCAGGCATCATCACAATGGCAGATGGGAAGCAAGAATAGGAAGAGTTTTCGGTAACAAATACCTCTACTTAGGTACTTACAGTAAGTACTTTCACCCCATAATTTTGAGCACTGATCAAATCAAGACTGTTAAAACAGGCTGCCAACTCGAATCTTGTGTTTGTTTTTCTGTAGGTACTCAAGAGGAAGCAGCTCGAGCTTATGACATTGCTGCAATTGAATACAGAGGGATTAATGCTGTGACTAACTTTGACTTAAGCACCTATATTAGATGGCTAAAACCAGGTGCCAATTCTCAGATGTCATTCCAAGACATAAGATCAGAAAATCAGGCTATACAAATGAACACTAACGATATGATTAACCCGATAAATGATCCTAAATTCCCTTTCAGCTCCAATTATTTTACCACAACTAGAGAAACTCTGCCCCCTATTCCTCAGAGCCAAGAACCTATTGAAAGAAAAATGCCCTTAAGTCCGTGCAACAAGTCGTCTTCCCCTACAGCTCTCAGCCTTCTGCTTCGCTCCTCCATGTATCGTGAGCTTGTGGAGAAGAATTCTACCACTACTGCTAGTGAAAAGGACGAGCCAAACATGAAGAATAAAGAACAATCAAACACAGAAGATGGGTTTGTGTTTTACACAAGTCATAAGTTGCCTCCATTGGAGTCTTTGGAGAAGGGTACTTCTTCTCGTCCGTGTGATAGAGCAGGGCAGTCCTTTTGGAATGCGATGCCTTAAGATTACTTAACAGTTTACAATTTGCAGTGAAGAATAACTGAAACTTGGTAGTCATCTAGGAATAGATGAGAAGTAGTTTCATCAAAGGACTGTACATAAAATGAACAGAGAGAGTGAAAATCTCTCTTTTTGCAAAGAAATCAGATCTATCAATTGCTTTTGGACGTGAGAAATACAACGTTGCAATTTATGGATTACGAGTATTGGCCTGCAGTCAACAATAATTGAGTTTTAATTATATGCACCAATGGTGTAAAAGATATTTGCACAACTAAGTAACTTAAAAGGCAATTGTACGTGATCTCCATTCTCCCATAATTAACATTTACTGATAACCTTGAACATTGTATTGCGATCGGGAACCTGTTTGCAGGTTTTAAACAGCACTGCTTGAAATATCATTGTTCAACAACTCTCATTCTATTCGTAAACTTTATTGCAGGATCATGAATAACGTAGAAAAAGATACCCCACTACACAACCAAAGAGGAAGCATATGTTAGTTTCTGTATTCGAAAATATAATTTGTGCAAAATAAAACAAAACCAGAAACAAAAGACAGAAATAGAATCAAATGAATAATGTTCCGAACCCAACAGAAAACTGTGTTTCCTTAAGGAATTTAATCCCCTCACTGTTGCCCAAGGTTATTGGATTAATTCCTCCCAGGATAGAACGGAACAACTATTCTGTAATACCGGCAATGGAAATTACAGAACCTCGTCGAACTCAACAAACGACAGTAAACCATACAGATGCTTATGTTTTTGCTTTGAAAATAAAAATGCAGAAATGCAAAAGATGAGGGAAGAGTTTGCAGATTTTCGATGCTAAAAAATGAGGCAAAACCTCTGAATTTATAGCCAAACAGTCTGGGTTGAATAGGTGCGAAGGTACCTGTTCATATGAGGTACCATTTCGGCAGAAGTCTGTTAGCGAATTTTAAACTCAAAATGACCGTTGGGAACCGCGAATTTTAAATTAAAATTCCGCGAAAAAATATTAGAAAAGAAATTATATAACAGAAAACGGGAAATAAATTTGGTCTAAAAAATCTCAATCAAATCAATTGACCGAAGCCGAAACCGAGCCTAGCAAGCGACGGCGCGAGGCACCACTTCTTGTTAACTCTTTAAGAGCTAGAAGATGTGCTTCTCTAAATAAGCACAAAGATTTTCTTTCCTTTTTCTGATGAGGGACAAAGTACATTAGTAAAGGAAACAACTTCAAACTTTTCTTTTCCCTCCATTTCCCATTCACACCTCTTATCTAATTAGATAAAAACCCAACAACATCGACCTCTAATAATTATCAAGATACAGGCTAATGACAGGGGCTTTTACCCTTTTCTATCTAAAGACAACAGAATAAACTACAAACACAAAATAGAGCTTGTTGTCTATATGTTTTCACTACTAGAAGGCTGAAAGGCATCTAGGATTTTCAGATCATAGTAAACACATGAATAGAGAAAAATTTATGTGACACGAGCTGTTCAAGTGGCAAAGAGTTGAGCAAAATTATGAACTATCATATAATCCAAACAGCTAGCAGCAGGCTTAGCATAGCTGTATCATGCCTTCTTCTTTTTGGACTTGAGCATCACATATCCGATAAACATGCTCAGCAAGCAGATGAGTGCCATTCCAGCAAATACGGGAATAAGAATCGCATACTCTTGAGGTAGAAAATATTTGTGCACAAAATGATCAGTATCAACCAGTGGCTGAAAGACAAATAGCATTTATCAACCCCATATATTAACGTAGGACGCAAAAAGTCACTACATCAGGCAAGAGAGAAGAACTGACCAGAATGATGACCCAGAAGGTATAATATGTGAAAATAGACAAACTAGTCACTGTCAAAAGCAGCCCAATCGTTCTGTCTGCTAATTCCATCGTGACTCGTTCGCTTGTGCAGACTCTAAATGTGGAATGCCATATTAAATTGCAAAACAAAACACGGAGGCATAAACAAAACGCTGCCCTGGGCAGAAGTTTGTAAATGAATTCCAAAGAAATGAAAGCAGGAAAAGCAAACAGGGAGAGGGAGGGAGGGAATGCACATGGAATGCTCAAAAGATGTAAAATTACACGACCAAACGTTATGCATCATTCAAGACAATACAGATGACATCCATTCTTTCTCAAGAACAGAACTGTAAGACCAACTCAGTAACTGAATAGTTGAACATCCCTCTGATGTACCAAAGAATACAATGATTGCTGATGAAAAAACACTACTAATCCACTATATGTTTAGCTACCTTATGAGTTCCAACTATTTACCTGGTTTTATTGCACAAATGCACAATATATGACTTAATTACTCTTGGTATCTATACAATCATCTAGCAATATATATTTCCAAGAAAACTGCCAAAACCACATAGCAGTCCTCTATCCAGACCACACAAAAATTTTATCAAAGAGGAGAGGAGGGACGTTTCAATAACAAAACGTTCCCAATAAAAACAAATCTGGAAAGAAACATACCAGCTCCAGGAGGAAAAGGGATAGAACTGAAGAAACCAGAAGATACTTGACCTAGTTTGTATTTCTCAGTGGTTTGTCTACCAAGGTGCACAGCTATGCTTTTATATTGCTTTTGAAGTCAGTCCAATATCGACTAGATTTCAGTACACAACAGGACATATAGTGAAACCTCCAACAGTCTAAGATTCGGAAAGCAACGTTTCAGGTCTGAGTCATATGTTTTATCAAATAAATACCTATAGTAGAGAATGCTTGGAAAATCAGGCACTTATAAGTCAGAACGTACAAAAGATTTAATGAGAATATAATAAGGAACTGGTAGCCTAAAGCATGATGGTGCTACCTCTTAATATCTGTGAGAGTATAGCGTGTATTTACATGAGCATATCATGCTAATAATATATGTATTTCCTTTTGGTAGCACCACTGTATATTTGCAAACAAATATTTGACCCAAACACGTGAATCTTGTTTCAATCATCTCCAAAGTCGCACATACACATCCAATGGTGTGACCTAGTGGTCAATGAAGTGGGTTGAGAATCATGAGGTTCAAATCCCAGCGGAGATAAAAAAAAAACTAGGTGATTTTTTCCCGTCTGTTCAAATTTGGTGAGCAGAGTTACCTAATACCCGTTGCTGGTGAGAGGTAGCAGGTATCCCGTAGAATTAGCCGAGATGAGCGCAAGCTGGCCAGGACACTACGGTTATCAAAGAAAGAAAAGGTCGCACAGTAGTTTCATTTTGAAGCAACACGCCCCTTTCTAAAGAGATTGGGGAGCACTTAAAGAGATTGACAGTCTACTCTATGATCCTACATACTAGCTACACAAATAAGGAGACAAATATCAGATATTAGAGCTAAAATAATTACATAATCACTGGACATCAGCATACAGCTGTAAAATAAATTCAGATTGCATTACCTACGCGATTAGCCTGCAAACTGAGAAACAGACAACGTAAGTGCTACAAATTAATCAGAAAATTCAGAGCCGCAAATATACGCATTGAAGAGGTTTTCGCTGATAGGCAAAAAGACATTATGCACACAAACATTGATTATCCCCATAAGCGAACTTCAATTCCTTAATTTTCACGGTAAGTTCCAATATTTCACATTTAAGGGAGAAATTACCTTGAAAATTTTATTATTTGGAAATTCTTTCGTTTCAGAGCATGAAGATCGTTATGATCTTCCAAATCGACATTGATTCCTTTGTGCTTACATTAGTTTCATTTTTCAGAGTTCTCTATAGTTCTCTCTTGAGAGTTTCAGAGAGGAGAATCCTGAATGAATGGGCCATCAGCTTTTTCCCTCATATGGGCCAAAATGAAAGATGGGGCTGGTGTTAGCCGAATGATCCAAATTGGCGGTATTTAAAAAATGGCCCCTTGACCCGTAGTCAGTGTGTTTATCATATTGGTAGAGTTTATGCTATATTTATAAGTTGTTTTTCAAAGTCTATCAGGTTGATATGATTTTGCTTTTTAGTGATTTCTCTACAGGATCGATAGAGTTTATACTATATTTATTCTGCCTGTCTATTAAGTTGTTCATCGAAGTCAACCCGATTGGCATAATTTTTTGCGCTGTTTTAACAAAATATTCTTCGAAATCGCAACTTTAATTTCGATCAAACTACCCCAAATCTGCTCCAAATGATCTCAAATTTGAAATAAAGCTTCCAAATACCAAAACAAAAAAAAACCTCAATCACCAATTTAGACAAATAACACCAAATCAAAAAAGATCCACTTTGTCTTGTACAACACTCTATGAGGTACAATAATGGAGTTTTGAGCTTTTTACAGTAAATTAGTAAATCAATGTTTGAACTAAAAATCTAACCATAAATTATCAACATTCGAACGATTTTGACAATAATGGATCATTAAGCTTCTATTTTTCACTACCAAACAAAAATTACAAACTTTAAATATTGAAGAACTATGGTATTTAAGTGAAAAACTGAAACATTTCGCTTAGATAAAAACGGGGACATTCAACTAAAACCAATCTCATTTTTAAAGTTGAGGGACATGCCATGCAATTTTTCGAGAGATGGGTGATACATATAAACTAACTGACCCATTCTATCCCCGCGGCCAAAGATCAACTCATTTCCTATAAAAAATACATACATAGACCCTTAATTTGGCACCAAATTTTATTTTGGCACCTTATCTCAAGCAAGTTCCTATTGGGCACCTCATGTACTTTTAAACTGTGTCATTTAAACCCCTCGTGGCTTGCCAACAAAAAATATTGAATGCGTGAACTATACGTGTGCAGTGATATGGCAAAAATATCAAATAACAAGCCAAGTGGCTTTTGAGTCTAACTAATAAAAAAAACACCTGAGCTAAAAAAAATACTACTATTTTAAAACTTCCCCTGACCCCCCCCCCCACCCCCCTCTGACGACCCACTCCACTATGTCGCTGTCGTTGCATCATTTCTTCCCGGAATGCCTATCCTCCATAGAACACCTCAACATTTCCAGACCAGCTCCTCCTACTCCCCCAGCTTTATCCTCTTCCCACATGCACATCTATTTTGCCTTCAAGACTGCTGGACTATCCAGGGCAATGATAGTTAGTAAATAGTATTTGTAAAATAATACCGGAGAATATAAAATAACATAAACAGAAATATAAATGAAACAAAGGTTAATCCGAGCCCACTGAATTCACATTATTTTCTTAAGAAATTTAATCCCCTCCTAGTACCCAAGGTTATGGATTATTTCCTCCCAATATAGAACGAATTACACACTGGTGTAGTGGTACTTCAAACCCCAATGTTTCAGTAAACACAAAGTTCAGTAGCAAATCACACTTAGTGTTGCTTTCTTTGAAGTTAAAAGTATGCAGAAGAAAGGAGGAGAAACTTAAAAATTCGTATGGAAATTCTGAGAGAAAGGACTTGTATTTATAGTTAAATGGCTATTACTCAACAATAAAGAGGGAAAATTGAAGAGGGTAGTTAATTTTCTGTTACCAAAACAGAAAACGGAAAAATGGAAACGGTTGGATTTTAATATTAATATTCTTGAATTTAATATTAATATTTTGTTATTAAAATATTTACTATTAACAAACAAATTTGGTCCAAAAAATTAATCAATCAATCGTTTGACCAAAGCCGAAGCTGAGCGACGACGACGGCGCGAGCATTGCCTTCTTCTCAACTCTTTAAGAGCTAGAAGAAGAGCAATTGCTTATATACACATTAAAAACCTCTTCCTCTTCCAATATGGGACAATGTCCCTTTGTCAAGGGAAGAAACTTAAAATTTCACTTAAAAATTTCATTTCACTCCATTTCCCATTCACCCTCTTTTAAGCATTTAATATACTTAAAATCCCAACAATGATTATTTAAACTTTAGGGAGAAATTGTAAACAAAAAGGGGATAGGTCGCACTTGGGTTTGGTTTTAATATAATCCTTGAAAGACTAGTTTTTGAGAATAATTTATAAAGAAAATATTGAATGTTACAATTAGCTTTTGAGAATGATTTGTTGCACGTACGAGTTATTTTTAAAAAAAATATCTAAATCTACATTAGATTGTTTCGTTCTCCAAAAGCATCTACACTCAATCTTGAAACCCCAAACTCCATTTATGCTTCTGATTTGGGTTCTTCAAAGTCCTTCGGGTCGCCAGTTCGAGCCCTCGCAGGGCCACTGGAGGCATTACAAACCGGCTGCGTCTCCAGAGCCCCGTGGAACTAACCGTGGTGTACGCATTGGAACAGCGGGTCCCGGTGGATACAACTAGTCGGGTTCGCAAAGCGATGCCCGAAAACCACGGATTAAAAAAAAAAAAATAATGTTTGGAGTGCAGTTTTACTTTAAGATATTATCACATCAATATTCAATGGACATTACTGTATTAGAAGATCAATGAATCTTCTCCGACAACGAATCTGGGAAGGCGATATGAAGGTGGATTATGAGAAAATATTTGAAAATTTGTTAGGAAAACATGAAGTGGAAGAAAGAAATGTGATGGAAGTTGCCGGAAAATTCGCCGGACTTCCATGAGTGGCGAGCACCATTCTGGAACCATCAAAGAATCCAATTTTAGGCAAAAGCGTAACTTAGCAAACAATTTCACGCGCTAAAAAGATGTGTGAGACACGCAGTATGCCACACCAGCAATGCGAGTTTAAATGACACAGTTCAAGAGCACATGAGGTGCCCAATAGGAATTTGCTTGAGATAAGGTGTCAAAATGAAATTTCGTGCCAAGTTAAAGGGTATGTGTATGTTTTGGCCAAAAAATATTTGTTATTATTTAATTTTAGTACTTTAATCCCCAGATTATAATGGTAATATAACTTGCTGTAAAATCAAATGATCTCTTACGAAACGTGAAAAATCATTAGTTATTTAATAAGATAATGTAAAGGATTTCCAATAGACCGACCAAATGCTTAAGCCATTTCTAAGGTGTCCATAATCAAAATATTTTCACAACTGACTCATATTTCTAGTTTACTTTCATCTCTGCAAAAAATAATTTGATTTATGAAAGGATTGAAAGATTTATATTATTCTAACTGATTAATAAATTGTACGAATAATCACTATACACCTAAACCGACGAAAAAATTGTATAGTTATAATAAGATAAATTTAAAATTTTAGAACTTTATAATACACATAAAACTTTTTTGCTTAGTTGATTAAATAAAAATAATATTCACATACAAAAACATAATTCCCACCGATCTGAATCAATTTTGTTTACAACTACAACTTTGTATAATTTCTTCATTTAAAAAAGCTGGATATAATTCATGCTAATTAGATCCAACCATCCTCCAATTATATATTGGAAATTGATATGTTCAGTGACTTTGTAAATATTTGTTAGGAGTACTTTCAAAGACTACAAATTAATATATGTATAAATCCAAAAACCAAAATACAAATTGCACAACTAGTTTACTAATTATTGGTATTCTAAAGTTGTAGTCCACTTGAACGTGTCGCACAATCCCATCGCTCTCTCATCAAATGATAAAATATTAACATCTGCATTCTATTCTCCAATTCCTTCCTTCATTTTCGCCCAATTTCTCAAATTTTGGCGCAATTTTCCACCCTTTTTACCCACCAAATAACTACTACCTTATAATTTTCCGGACAAAATTCTCCAAACCCCAAATTCTAGGGTTTTCATAGTACTATTGTAATCCAGTTTTTTTCCTTTTGAAACATTTACCTTTAGGTTTGGATTCTGAATTTTGATCACAATTCGAATAAATAAGAGAAAGAGATGAGCTTTCAAGATCTAGAATCGGGTCGATCATTGGGTTCCCGTCGTGGCTATGTGAATGGGAAGCAAGACCCGACCCAAGCCTTGGCCTCAGGAATATTCCAGATAAACACCGCCGTCTCCACGTTTCAGAGGCTGGTTAATACCTTAGGTACACCTAAGGATACCCCCGAATTACGCGACAAGTTGTGAGTTCTTTCGACATTTCGTTAACATTTTGATTAAATTAAGTTTTTTGTTCCATGATTTTGATAAAATTTTGATAATTGAGGTACACTTGACGTTGAATTTTGGGCTTATTAGCCTTTTAAGAATTCTTTGCAAGTGTGTACGTCAAAAAATAGAATTGGATTTTTACGAGTTTACTGGATGCTTCTTTTGTTTTGACGTTCTGCAATGGCAACCTTTTTTTTTTTTGGAGATAAAATTAGTCAAAATGATACTCCTTTAGTGCTATTTTCCTGGTGATTTAGTCTTCATTGGCTTATTTGGGAATTTAGTGTGATATAAGATGAATTTATTTATCAGCTTCTGCAGAGAGGCAGCTGTATGCTTGACATTATATAGTTCAAAGCAACTTGTCTAAAATATCTTACGTGCATGCCAAATGGCAGTGACTATAAATAAAATAGTCAAAAAAAAATTGCAGTGTCACACTTATCTGGGAAAATTTATGTAGGACTATCTTGGCTTGAGAATTATACAGCATGGAAGGAGAGTTTTGGAACTTTGAGTAGGAGAAGAGCAAAGAACAAACCTGGTATATGTTGAGAGTGGCATTACATGATGACTAGGATAACCATAGTTAGAAGTTAACTGTAGTCAGGGTAGGATCAGTTAATTATTAACAGAATTAGTTAGTTGGTTAATGAGTGCAGCTGGCAGTGTATATATGTACTACTTGGACAGTTGGACGACTAATGAGAAGTAGTTATTCATTTTTCCCAATTACATTTCAGCTTACAGCATATGCTCTCTTCTTCATCCTCTCTAGTTCCTGATCTCCATTAACAGAAAAGCTCAATCCCATTCCCAGTAGTATCTGGAGAAGATGGCTGAAGCTATGGAGTTTAAGAGTATATGCGAGAATGATGAACTTACTGTACATAGAAGTGATGGACCTCTATCTTGGGTTTTCATCAAGAGAACTTGCGTAGAACAATTTGCAGGTGCTGGATACACTTTTAATGATAAATGACAATGTCAACCTCTAAAAAGAATGATGAACAAAATGCTTTCTGTTCTGAGAGATAGTACAAAAAGAAGTTTTGAGTTGAAAAAGCATGAAAACATAAAAATCATTAAGGGTCCATGTTGCTCCGAAAGTGGCAGATGTGCTTCACTCCAGTAAGGCATGCAAGTTGAGTAATTAATTTTAAGCAGCAACAATGATTTGCCCGTAGCTACAATAACAAAATAGTTTTCCTTAGAAGGATAATAACAATAATAGTTTAATTGTGTCTCTACAAAATCCATTAACCTTATTAAGCTTGAATATATATAACGGCAATAACTATGCTACTATTTTCTTCTATTAGCTGATCTGAATAATTGTTTCATATTTTGCATATGTGCTTTTAGTCCTAGCAGTCTCCTTTCAGAAATCATTTCTGTAATTGGGTGAATAGGTGGGATACCCCAGCGAGGTTTGCAAACAAATTCCTTTAGATTGAACAGGGTGAATATACCTCGCAAGTTTCCCAGGGTGGGTAGAGGACTAAGTTATGGGTTGGTAACAAGGAAAAAGAAGCATTGAGAGGTGGGATTAATGCAATTAATTGATCTTTGGGGTCTGCTATTATACGTTCAATCATTATTAAGCGGATAATAGATACTAGCTTTGCAGTCCAATGTCTGTGATCCGAACTTAGTGCTGCAGCAACAATAATAGTGCCCGTTTGGATTGGCTTATTTTAAGTACTTTTAAGCCAAAATAACTTTTAAGCCATGTTGTAGTGTTTGGATAGAGTAAAAAAGTGCTTTTAAGCACTTGTTTTTAAGCTAAAATGACAAAAAACAAGCCAAAACCCAAAAGCTAGAATTCCTAACTTATGACTTGAAAGCTATTTTGGCTTAAAAGTAACTTAAAATAAGACCATCCAAACGGGCTCATAGTGTCTTGATGAGATGAAAGGTGGTTCATTCGAATTTAAAAAAATAAAAAATTTCTGGTACTTGTGCTGATTTTCTCAACTGCAGGCACAAAACAAGGCTGCATATTGGGCAATTAGTGAAAGATACATCTGCAAAACTTAAACAAGCCAGCGAAACAGATCATCGAGTTGAAGTCAGTGTAAGTTTCAAGAAGTGCTCTCCTTATTTCTCTGTGTTTGTCTTGGTGGGTCTGCACTTTGATATATATGTGCAAAACATTTATTCATCTCCTCTCTTTGCGAATTATCCATATTTTAAACATTTGCTAGCCTTATGTATATTTCTCGCTCTTCGTCTATCAGACTTCTCTCTTTTGCTTATAACTGTGAATTCGTTTTTTTTGTTGCACTCAGGCTAGCAAGAAAATTACAGATGCTAAACTTGCTAAAGATTTTCAAGCTGTATTAAAGGAGTTTCAGAAAGCTCAACGCCTTGCAGCTGAGAGGGAGACAGCATATACACCTTTTGTTCCCCAAGCAGTTCAACCTTCTATGTAAGTGATGGTTATATTTACCGGAATTTTCATACAGTAACCAAGCTTGAAATTTGAAAAATTACATTAAAAGAAACTTTTATCTCGATAACTGATCTTGCTCTTTGATATTGTGAAATAAAACTTTTTACCTTCATTTCACCTCTCATTTCTAGTTCATCATCTTTTGGTAAACAGTTACACAGACGGTGAGATAGATGTTACTTCAGATAAAGGTCCAGAACAGCAAGCTCTCCTGGATTCTAGAAGGTAAAAGTCTGATATTTTTACTCCTTTATGCTTGCTCTTAATCATTATTTATTGTTGTTGTGGTGATGGTTCAATTAATTGCTAAAAGTTCACCAGCAAGTCTGCTGTCAAGTTTTTGATGCACAAGGAATTGAAATTGGACTTTGAATTTGGACTCAAATTGACATATGGTCTAGTTCAATTAGATGGAGGCTTTTTTGGTGTGTAGAGAACTCATTTCAATGTTTGGGATTAGGGGTTGGGATTCTTGGTGATTTACATTGTGCAACACGGTGTAAAGTGGCGTAAATTATCTTAGTGTTGGTTTTCTGCCAAGACAAATTGTCCAAAAGAGCTGTTGCACATGATTGAGTCGAACTCAGATTCTTCTGAAACAAACCTAACTCTTTTAAAAATGCACTAAAGGCAAGTTGATGTTAATGTAATTATGATGTTTTTCCAAATGTGGGCTTGTTATCGATTGTTAGCCGGAATGTGAATATGCCTCCTATACTTTTTGTGAGAAGACAAGCTATGATTATTCTGACATCTGCAGGATTGAAGGGATTAAATTTGTCATATACATCAATGAATAGAAGTCAGAGGAGATAACTGTAATTCACCCTTAAAATGGGCACTGACATGCAGAGTTATTTGCTTGCATGACAACAGAGTTAAACTTCCAAAATTTTCATCTGCTGAAGTTACAATTCCTTGATCTCAGACACATCAAATGAAAGTATGCTTGTGATGCAAATGTCATATAAGATCAATGATTTTACCTCGTTAATACATGCATGCATGCATATATATATATATATATATATATATATATATATATATATATATATATATATATATATATATATATATATATATATATATATATATAATTGTAATTTTTGGCTTGGTGATTCTTAGTTTCTGTTTTATCCTCCATGTACTCGTGCTGCAGACAGGAGGTTTTGCTTTTGGACAATGAAATTTCCTTTAATGAAGCTATTATAGAGGAGCGGGAGCAGGGAATACAAGAAGTACAACAACAGATAGGTGAAGTGAATGAGATTTTTAAGGATCTTGCTGTGCTTGTTCACGAGCAAGGAGCCATGATCGGTAAATTCCTCTCCTTCATCTTAACATTCAGGTACCAAGGGGGAACGCATTTTGATGTTTCTAATTCTTTTGCAGATGATATTGGTTCCAACATTGAGAATTCTCATGCTGCAACTGCACAAGGGAGATCACAACTTGCTAAAGCTGCAAAGACCCAAAGATCAAATTCATCTCTGGTAAATCTGACACATCTCACACTTCTTTATCCAGAAGATAAAAGTCTGGGTTTGGCGTGCTTGAATATGCTGTACTTTAGTGTGAGGCCTGTCTGTTACTCTTTCCTTCCCCAAAAAATGGCACTACTATTTATTTGGAGCATAATATTTTTTCTTTTACTAAGATTTTTTCAACTAATTTAGAAGTCTTGTTGACCAAGAAAATGTAATCTATAGTACCGTTTTTTACTCTCTAAGTATGTAGTTTTATTTATTAAAAAGTTGGAAATATATGTCCTTGCCAAAAATTAATGTATTGTCCCTCATATCTTGTACCTTGATATTCTTTTTGGGACGGAGGGAGTAGTATTTATTTCGGTGTTTTACTTGATAAAGGTTTTGTGGATTTTTGAGGAATTTGATTAGGAACACTCTGGTGGTTTAAATGTAAAAAAGTTATATAATGAACAAGACCACTCAGACACTGGTCGACTTTGAAATTTTATCATTCTTATGTTATAACAAGTCAGATCATGTAATTAGCTTGTGGAGAGGAGGAGGAATTTGTGGAAGAGCTTAGTGGGAAGTGCAGGAATTTGATAAAATTTCAACTTCTTTTGTGAAGCTTTTATTATTTAATCGTGCAGTCACTCCAATTTTACATCATCCTTGGTATCTTTGAATTCGAACCGGTGTTTCTGCTTCCCTCTCACTTTGTGCGCATCAGTATTATTGTTCCACCTCGAACTAAACAATTTATTGTCTTTATGATTTCCTGACATATTGTACTTTCTGCAGACCTGCTTACTCCTGGTGATTTTCGGAATCGTGCTCCTTATTGTTATCATAGTACTTGCAGCCTGACTTGAAGATTTTGAGATATAGAAAAGGATACTAAACTATGTTCAGCAGTGGAGTGATCTTTGTGACTCAAGTTGTTTTTGCAGGCATACCTGTGTTCAATTGTGCTGCCTCGAATCTTTGGTCATACGGAAAGTTTACTGTCAAACGAAGTGTTGTTTGCTCTGGGCGAGGGGGTAGCAGGGTTTGTGTTCAATATTGTAAATTTGGTGCTTGGTGTGTTGCTGCCTTGTAATGGCACTATGGCAGGTGTGTCAATAAAAATTGATTCTTTGGAGGGTCTGTTTTTCTACTTGCAGTCTATTATTTGACACAAGCATATGACATTTTATTCTTTATGATGCTAGTATGGTGAATAGATAGTTTGTCTTGTTTGTTTTTTGCCTGTCTAAATCTTGTGTGGTAGGTTTGTACCTCTAGTTCTGTTCCGAGGTAGTTTTCAAAAAGTTGCAACCTAAGCCAAAACGTTTTACTTGCTGTCTTGGGAGTTGTTTTTCAGTTATCACTTCCCAAAGGTATTTGTACTGGAAAATATCATAATTGCTTGGATATATGCATCAACAGCAGATATAATAACTGAATAAGTCAACAACTTATGATGCCAAAGCAAAAAAACACAGAGAAGCATCTCTGTCTGCTGATTAACAGAGCAAATCTTTCCAAGAAATGACTCAATTTAAAGAGGGTAGGAGTATAATTAAACCCAAAGCAAGAAGACTACAGGATCACAACTTCACAAAGGAATTAGCCATTTTTGGCTTCAAAAACAATTAGCAATTCAAATTCTAATACTGAGGCATGTACTACAAAACCTGTGCCACTAAGCGATATACAAATCACATACAACAAGAAGCCTTTTCTTTGGAAGGAGTGTTCATCAACTAAAAGGGGCTGCACCTGAGATCATCTTGATCACAAGCTGCCTACGTAACCCCCAAACAAATCCTAAAGAGGGGATCAAGCCCACACGTAGTTCTTTACATATACAGTATTCATAATTCAATTGTATTGTTTTTTTGACTAAAAAGGGGCTGCACCTGAGATCATCTTGATCACAAGCTGCCTACGTAACCCCCAAAACAAATCCTAAAGAGGGGATCACGCCCACACATAGTTCTTTACATATAAAACAAATGAATTTTCTATCATGAATCATCTATCTACTGTCAGTATCTAGCAGCCTTTCACGAATTCCCTTTTCTACTTTCTTCAGATTCAGCAGTTGGATTCTGATTATTGCATCAATGTTCTATAACCAAATCGCGAATGTGTGGCTGTGTCTTGAATGCTGTCTTTCGATGTGGTCTGCGCAAAAGGGACATGTAACCACTTTGCTTCTTCCTTGTCTTTGTCGCAGGCTGCACATTGTTGGCTGATTTCAGAAAAGAATGATTCAAGAGCATGTCCGCGGTCCAACGCGAGCTAGGATTCTTGACCAGACAACTTCTCACAAAATCTTTTGCCTCTGCTGACAGTTTCGCATTCTCATAACTTGGTTGTTCATACCCGATTCGGTGTAACACATCATCAACTAGGTTACTACAAAGAATGTTATGTGAATATTCTGTGAGTGTAGTTTTTGTACTAGTAAGTATTTTGGTCGGTTAAAAGTTTTGTTTCCTATTTGGCTATTTACCCTTATTATATTCAGTCTCCTCTCCTATTCCTAAATGGAGTAGTACAAAACTTTAATATGTTACTTCAATTTTATATTATTGTCGCATAAATTATTCTAGAAACTAACAAATTATTTTAAAGATGAAATTCTTGAAGAAATTTTATATAAAAATGGAATTTATATAAAATTTTCCATCTACATAAATTAATTAAGTTCTCCTCAATTTTACTACTGGATATACGCCAGAAATTTTATTTCAAATGAGACATATCAAGGTCATTTAACGAAATTTGTTATTTCTATTTTAAGGAAGACTAAAGAGCAACAATTAGAGGAAATGTAGCAATTCTTTTTCGTTAATAGGACTTTTCTGAATATTTTTTGCCAATTCCTATTTTTATATATTACTAAAAGTAAAATATTCTTAACTCAAAGTTCGATAGTTATTCTTACTCTTGACATAATTACCTATTTTTTCCATTACAAATGGCTAATTAACGTGCTCTTTTTGTTTAATATTTTAAATACTTTGTTTTTACTTATCAGTTGTGATGTATAACAATATAAGTAAGAAATATTTTATTTTTATTTTTATTTTTATATCTAAAAGCTCATTAACAGTCCTCTTTACTTTTACTTGAAAGTTGATATATATAGAATATTAATGCATAAATCCTCAACAACAACAATTTATTTTAAAGCACAAGTGTGAAGCATAGCTTAGGAGATTTGAAAAATTTATTTAGTAATTGCTAATTATATCTTAATTTCTTTTATTTTAGATATTTCCTTTAAAATGACAACTTTTTAGTAATCTACCAAAAGAAAAAACAATTTTTGTAGTAATCAATTACCTATTATCTAATCCAAATCCACCTTCACCCAGTGTTCTCACTCTCTTCCACAAGAGTGAAGCCATTTTAAAGTAATTTGTGAACGTCTACTGACTGCTGCTGCTGCTTCGTACCCTTATGTTATTTTATAAGGTGAATTAAAGTTGATGAATATTAGGCAAAATACATAGATTGTCACCTGAGCTTGTCCCTAAATTCCCGTTACATACTTGTAGACCAAAGGAATAATTTTATACACGCAACCTTTCAAAAATATATTTATGACACACCACTGTTGTGTTTGGCCACTTCTTTTAAATAGGTATATGTCACGCACCAATAATATCGTGACACGTGTCATTAAGTTAAAACAAAAAAGAAAAAGAAATTCATCTTCTTCCTTGATGAAAACCAACCACCATGGCTGCTACAACCTTCATCTCAGTTTCAAGGTCAGAGAACATGAATACAAATCAACAACCAAAGTTTTCAATATCAACCTCAGATTTCTTCAAGTTTAAGACCTAACTCAAAAATTCAAAGCACTCTTTTTCGGACTTCTTAAACAAATTTCGTTCCAACTACTTAGCTCATCTCTATATGAGTTTCAATTGAAATGGAGCTTCTAATTTATAATTAATTCAATCCCCGAACATCAATTTCAACAAACAACAACAATTTCAAATAATCAATTTCTGGGTCTTGCGCAATTTGTAGAAATAATTCGGATGAGAATAAGTGAAAACCAAAAATTTTAAGACGATTTTACGTTGGAAAAAACAAAACCCAAAAAAAGAAGAAGCAAAGGCTAGAGATAGGCGCAGAAGAATGGTAATAGGTCTAGGATTGAAGCGAGCTGGGGTTTTAGCGAGGATGAAGGGCAATATCTGAGAAAAAAATGCTCTGCAATGGATTTGGGATGAGATTCAGGCTCATGAATTAGAGGAGGAGCTGTTGAAATTATTAGAAGTGTTCTTTAGGAGAATCAACGGAGGAGCCGGCTGAAATTTGATCCATCAAAATGAAGAAGATTGACTAAAAATGAAAAAAAATAAAAAAGTGAAAAAAACTGGACATGTGGCGTCCAAATGAGGCTTTAAATACAAAAATGTATAGTTCACGTGCTTCATTTATGTGTAAAATACGTGCGTGCCATGTAATTAAAATGGTGTGTCATAGACACATTTTTTAAAGGTTGGGTGCGTAAAGTTATTTCTGTACTTAACAGGTGTGCAACCGAGATTTAACGACAAGTTCAAGTGGTATTTTATGTATTTCACTATGAATATTACGACATCCCAATCCTTTATTAATTAGGATTCTAACTTTCCTATTTTCACTTATGTCTCTATTCATTTTTTACGCCACCTCAACTTTTTCTTGTGTTAAAAATAAAAATGCAAATATTTTATTTCAAATGAGACTAGGGTCAGTTAACGAATTTGATTACTTCTAATTTTAGGAAGACAAATGGCCAAATATAACAAATTCCTTTTGTTAATAGGATTATTTTGAATATTTTGTTAGTTACAATTTTTATTTGTTTCAGATTAGGCTTCTTACAAATTTCGATGATAAATTTTTTCATAGTGAAGAACGTCTTTCATAGTAGATTTTTACTCAAATTTGTAGTACAAAAGAACTAGGACAATTTTTTTATGAAATACTATAATCGTCCTTTTGATTTTTGCACGTTACTGTCAAATCCTCAAGAAAAAAATTATTTAGCACATAATAGTATAAAGCATGAAGATTTATTGTATATTCCTCGGGGCAGGGGTGGCTCAAGAAGATTGGTGGCCTAAGGTCTATTTTTAATCTGGAGCCTTTCAGAAGAAAAAGAATAATTCATCTATATTTTTAATTGAAGTCTATTTTTCTAACTTTTTAAGATGTAAAGTTGTTAATAGTTTTTTTTTAATAAATAATTTAATCTCTCCTAAGATATTGTTGATCTTAGATAATATATAGAACCAGATTCAAAAGTTGATAACTTGATATCGAAATAATTTTTTATGTTCTAATATACTTGTTGAAACGCTTGAAACATGAGGGGAAAAAAGGGAAAAAAGAATGTGAATATAGTTTTATTAAAGGGATCTTTTCTTATCTATACCATATATGGAACTTTATTACCAAAAATGTGCATAATTTCTAAATTACCCGCCCAGTCCACATTATTTCTACAGTTTTGTACCAATCATTAAAAGCTAATTAATAGCAGTTGTATCTTCCTATTTATGCGAGCTAAATTTTAGGAGAAGAATATTCTGAACAGATTTGGCGTGAATATTCTAAACAGATTTAGGAGAAGAATATTGAAACGGAAAGGAGATTTCTGTTTTTCATCTTCATCTGTTCTTCCATATATTTTCCACAATTGATAGCCATTAAAAAGCTTGAAAGCTTTGAATTCAAATTTGGGTTCTCAAAAATCATTATTTGTCTGGATTGGGTGTTGTTGTAAATAATTCGGAATATGTTTAGGAGTTTATATCTCAATTTTGAGGGGTTTTGGTGAAGATTAGACTTGGTTTTGACTGAATTTCAGATTGAAACTCGAAGAAGAAGAAGAAGACATATTTCCAGAAATTGTAGATAAATTGTAGTTAAATTGTAGAATTGTAGATAAATTGTAGATAAAATGTAGATAATTGTAGATAAATTGTAGATTGGGAAGACTAAAACTTCTACAAATCTTCTACAATTATGTCAAAAATGCCAATTATGCTACAATTGAAATGGGAATTGGGATATTAAAATTCAATGTATTCATTTTGTAAATATCTTGTAGATAAACTGTAGATTATTTGTATTCTGATTGTAGATGCATTATTTTTTGTTTTCACAAATCCAAAACGACTAAAGCTTCTACAAAATCTTCTGCAAAAAACAGTCTACACTTTATCTACAATTTTTCTAATTTTTCT